GTCTCCCAAAAACGGGGCCCGCGTAAACCTTTTTGGGTTTCCCTGGTTTACACAAAAAATTGTATGGAGCACCCCACACGGGGTGGGGACAGGGAATGCAAAAGTGGGGAGAAATTTTTAGAGAGGGTGTGGTAGGAAATTTTTGGGGGTCCCAGGTGTAAATGATAATGGGGCCCTTGATTGAATTTTTGTATAAAAAAGGGGTTTTTTAGTTATGGGGTAATATATTTTTAAAAAAGGAAAAAAAAAAATTAAAGAAGGAGGGGAAAAAAAGGGGGGGAGAGGGAAAAAAAAGTTTAGAGGGGGGAAGAAAAAGGGGAAGGGAAAAGGGAAAGGAGAAAGAGAAAAAGGAGGGGATAAGGAAAGGGAAAGAAGATGGGAAAAAATAATTTATAAATAAAAGAGGGGGAGGGAAGAAAAAAGAGGAGGAGGGGAAAAAGAGAAGGAATGGGGTGAAGGAGGGGAAATTTTTTAAAAGAGGAGAGGCAGAGAAGGGGAAGGAAAGGGGGGGGGGGAAGAAAGGGTTTTTAAAAAAATTTTTTAAAATTAAGGGGGAAAAAAAAGGGGGGAAAAAAGAGAAAGGCAGGGGGGAAAAGGAATAGGAGAAAAGAGAAAAAAAAAGGGGAGGGGGAAAAAGGGGAAAAGAGAGGGGGTGAGTGAAAAAATTTTTTTTTAAAAAAGAAAAGGGGGAGGGAAAAAGAAGAAAGAGAGAAAAAATGGAGAGGGAAAAAAGGGAGGAAAAAAAGGAGAGAGAGGTTTTTAAAGGAGGGAAAAGAGGAAGAAAGGGAAAAAAGGGAAAAAGGGGGGGAAGGAAAAGGAAGGAAAAATTTGAGGGGAGGGAAAAACAGGGGGGGGGGCGTTCGGAGGAGAGGAAAAATGAAGGGGGAAGGAGCCGGAATTTTTTTGGGGAAAGAAAGAAAGAAAGCAGGGGGGAAAGGGAGGGTTTTCTTTTTAAAAAGGGGAAATGGGGGGGAAAAAAATTGGAGGGGGTTTTTTCCTTTGTATAAACAAAGGGGAAATGAATCAAAAAATTTGGGGGGGGAAAACTTTTATTTTCCGGAAAGGAGGAATTTTTTTGGTTAAATTTCGGGAAAAAAAACTGAACAAACAGGAAATGGGGGTTGGGGGGGGTTGTTTCAGGGAAATATAAGGAACAGTTTGATAAAAAAGGGTTTCCCCTGGCTTTAATTTTGGGGTATAAGGGGGGGGGAACAGGGAAAGTTCAATAGGTGTAGGAAGGTTCTGAAAAGTAAGATTTTTTTTGGGATAGTGGGTATTTTGGAAAAAAGGGAAAAAAAAAAAAAAAAAAAAGAGGGGGGACGGGGGAAAATAGAGGGGGGAAGAGAAAAAAGGAGGGGGAAGACTTTATTTTAAAAAAAGAAAACCCCCCAAAAAAATTTCACAGGGTTTTTTGTGGAATGTGCCCAATTTGAAAGGGGGGGCGAATTGGTGGATGTTTGGGGTTTTTGAAAAAAAAGGAAAAAAGGGGGGGAAAAAGGGGGAGGGGGGAGGATACGATTGGTTTAAAAATTGAATTAAAAAAGAAAGGGGGGAAAGGGGGTTAAAATTTTCAAAAAGGGAGGGTTCGGGGGGTTTAAAAAGGGGGACTAGTTCGAGACAGCGTAAACAGTTTTTAAACCCACAAGACGGGCAGAAAGCAGAATTTCACTCTGGCTGTTTACCCTTCCCCGAAAATCACCCCATCTGAGATCATACATACCCGGGGATGACTAAGTAGGAACACATTGACAGCATAAAAATTAAACGAGATAACGTCATTTTGATCAAATGAAAATGCTGGCCCACAGATGGCTCCAACTTCACCTGTTCCCCTACTTTTTGTTTCATAAAAATAAAAATGCTTTCAAATGAGCTGATGTGGAAACAGCTTTACTTGCCAATAAATTGGGAAATCCTTAACCTGAAAATAGCTCCCAATAAAGCTAGGGATCTCCTTGTCAAACCCTGTGTAAAAAAAAAAAAAAAAAAAAAAAAAAAAAGGAGAGAGAGAGACAGAGGAAGACAGAGAGAGCAGAGAGAGAGAGAGAGGGGAGAGGGGAAGAGAGAGAAGAGAGAGAGTTTTTCATTATCCAAGAAAAGAAATCCAGCTGCTCTAAGCCATCAATCACCAGCTAGAGCTATACAGTTGGGAAATAATGGCAATAACACTTGCACCTGAAAAACGAAAATTTGGATCGTCTCTAGGCACCATGATGGTAAGCGGTGCATAGTAAGGATAAGGGGCGATGTTGGACCGGAAAAGAGTTGTACCCTTGGGGGTTGAAATTTGACTCCAAAAATAACCATGAAGAACCATGTTGTAAATTTGCAAACAAGGCAGCCAGGAAGTTACGCATTTCCCCGTATCCGCATCTGCTTGCGTAGGGGTTGCAAGATCCTGTCGGGGCACAAGTACGCCCCACCTTGGTATCTCCACTTTTTTGGGTTTCCCTCCCCCCCCTCTCATCTGCGATGCTTGACAGAGTGAGAAAAGAGCAAGACTTCATCTCTCCCGGGCCCCATCCTGGAAGATCTGTTTTTCAGCAGGCCTTCAACATGGAGGAGTGGGGGGCCTTATGTTATGTACAAGGCCAATATTGTAAAAATACCACACTTGGATCCCTTCGAGGACAGCTTAAAACAAGCTTTTATGCCCAAGAGGGGCAGAAAGCAGCAACTTACTCGGGCTTTTCCCTTCCCAGAACATCACTCCATCTGTCATACATACCCGGGTGACTCGAGTATGGAACACATTGTACAGCATAATGATATCAAGAGATAAAGTCAGTTGATCAAAAAAAAATGCTGGCCCCCAGATGGCTCCCAAATTCATCCCGTCCCATACTTTTAGTTCCCTAACAATAAAAGCTTTCAAATGAGCTGATTAGGGAACAGTCTTAGTTGCCAAAAAAATTAGGAATCCTTAACCCGTTTAAAATTTGCTGCAAAAAAGCTAGGGGTCCTTAAAACCTGTCAAACCCTGTGTAAAAAAAAAAAAAAGAGAGAGAGCCAGCCTCGGCTTTTTTGGATCGTCTGACCACAAGGCTGTTTTTACGACACTTAAAACCCAAAAAAAGAGGTGAGGAGTCCACCCAAACGGGTATGAAAAGAGGAAAATTTGGTAGCCCTTCACCTGAGTCGCCACCACCCATTGGAACTCTTCTCCAAGGGGGTGTTGACAACAAGCAAATGTTCCCTTTCAAAAAAGAAGGCAGAGCAGAAAACAGCAAATACAGACCAGTGTCATCCCTTCAACACTGTAAACCTTGAGAAACAATCTCAAGACAAAAGACAGTTTTTTTTGACTATCATCCTACTTTTTGATCGCAAATGGCTTCAGGAAGGTTACTCTGCTGCTGATCTGTTGTTGTTAAACCTCCCCACTAAATGGCACCAGTCACTGGATGAATCCAAAGTCAGCTGTGTGGTAGCACTGGACATTGCTGGTGCTTTCGACCGGGTGTGGCACCAGGGCCTCTTAGCAAAACTTCAAGCACTGGGAATTTCAGGCTCTACGCTATGTCTCCTCAGTGATTACCTTCATGGTAGATCTCTAAGTGTAGTTCTCAATGGAACGGAATCAGCAAGACATCCTACTGGGGCAAGTGTTCCACAAGGAAGCGTGCTGGGACCATTGTTATGGAATGTCTACTTCAACGACCTTCTTCATCTCATCCCAGAATCCCATGCACATGCACACGACTGTACACTGACATTCAATTATCCAAGAGAAGAAATGCCAGCTGCTCTAAGCTACATCAATCACCAGCTGAGAGCTATATCAGCTTGGGGAAATAGATGGCAAGTAACATTTGCACCTGAGAAAATGCAAATGATGATCATCTCTAGGCACCATGATGGTAATGCTGGTGCAGTAGTAAGGATGAATGGGAGGGTGTTGGCACCTGGAGAAGAAGTTGATATCCTTGGGGTGAAATTTGACTCCAAACTAACCATGAAGAACCATGTTGTAAATCTTGCAAACAAGGCAGCCAGGAAGCTTACAGCACTTCGCCGTATCTCACATCTGCTTGACAGTAGGGGTTGCAAGATTCTGTACGAGGCACAAGTACCCTCACACCTTGAGTATGCTCCACTTTCTTGGTTTGCCTGCCCCCCCCTCTCATCTGCGACTGCTTGACAGAGTAGAGAAAAGAGCAAGACATTTCATCCCTCGCCTGGACCCATCCTGGATAGATCTGTCATTTCAGCAGAGCCTTCAACACAGGAGGGATGTGGGTGGGCTTACTGTTATGTACAAAGCCAATATTGTCAAAATACCACACTTGGATCCACTTCAAGGACAGCGTGAAACAAGCTTTTATGCCACAAGACGGGCAGAAAGCAGCAACTTCACTCAGGCTGTACCCTTCTCCAGAACATAACTCCATCTGAGATCATATATACCCAGGATGACTCGAGTATGGAACACATTCGTACAGCATAATGATGTCAACGAGATAGTCAGTTGATCAAATGAAAATGCTGGCCCACAGATGGCTCCAACTTCATCCTGTTCCCTACTTGTATGTCTCATAACAATAAAAATGCTTTCAAATGAGCTGATGTAGGTAAAAGCTCTTAGCTTGCCAATAAAGTTAGGAATCCTTAACCTGTAAATAGCTTGTCAATAAAGCTAGGGATCCTTAACATTGTCAAACCCTGTGTAAAAAAAAAAAAAAAAAAAAAGAGAGAGAGAGACAGAGAGAGACAGAGAGAGGACAGAGCAGAGAGAGAGAGAGAGCAGAGAGAGAGACAGAGCAGAGAGACAGAGCAGATGACAGAGCAGAGACAGAGACAGAGCAGAGACAGAGACAGAGAGAGACAGAGACAGAGAGAGACAGAGACAGAGAGAGACAGAGACAGAGACAGATTACATATATATATATATATATATATATATATATATATATATATATATATATATATATATATATATATATATTATATATAAACAAAGCTCTAGAAAACTAAGAAAGAAATCTTTAGCAACTTCTCACTTGGCTGAAACTGGTCTTTTCCCTGGAAATATTTGTCGAGACGTCATCAAGGCGATGCAAGTTAGTCACTACATATTTCCTGTCCTCAATGTCACTGCACATCTTATCACAGTCACCATTATCCACCCAATCTTCCATCTTTATTGGTTCTGTGGGAGAAATTAAAGGTTGCCTGTTTTAATGAGAAAATGGGAAGTAATTAACTGAAAATAGCTAATGTTATTACTATAGAAAACAGAGGTAGTTATTACAGTGCCAGATTGAGGGAGTGACCACCTTCGATCAAGAATGAGTGACTGAACGTCTTCAATCAAAACTGACAGACTGATCACCTTCAATCAAGACTACAAGACTATACATCTACTATCAAAGCTGAGTGACTGACCACCCCAAAATTGCTTCTGTTGAATCTAGCTCTGGTTCTCTTCCACTGAGGAAGGGCAACAACAAAAAAAATGAGTTAAAACATTCACAAACATTCATTCGATCAGTCTTGTCAAAACTAATCTGACATTGTTCAAATGTCCTTCCAAAATGCATCATCCTCACCCATCCTTCTAAGTCGTCCATTCTTTGGAATGCAGGCATTTTGGAGGGAACTCCAAAGGATGGACAAAGATGATGTCAGACTCTAGACCAGCTAACTGGCTTCCCCGAATCCCTTCATACACCAGCTTAGTATACAACTGTCCACATCACCTCAGAGTCGAACCCAGACCCTCCCAGCACTGTGGGAGTCAAAATGCCATGTAAGGTTAGTTTAGGTAAGGTTCATCAGGAAACAAGAAAGGTGTTTCCTGACATGGGTCTTAGTCATATGATGACCCACAGCTGGAGCTTTTGGTCATCTGACTGAGACTATACCATGCACACTAACACACTTTCTTACCACAAAATATGAGGTTCAAATTCCCAACTCTTCTCACAACCTTCCAAAGATTTATCCTCAATTTACAACAGAAACCCACCAAACATAGTCAATCAAGTTAGATTAACTTGCATGCATTGTGTCCTCCTAATACTTAATTCCTTCTCTGTATTTCAACTTGAAAGTACAGCATATGCTGTACTTTCTTCAAGATTGAAGGACTGAACACATCAATTTCACACTATTTCCTCTATTTCTACCGTTCTTCTTTGTACTGGACTGATGAAGCCACTGTGTGGCGAAACATTTGCACAAGGCTTATTCTTGCTTTAATATGCAATAAGATCACAGTAAACAAGTGATATCACAATATGCAATAAGATCACAGTAAACAGGTGATATCACATATCACAATATGCAAAACAACCACTGTGAAAAAAAGTGAACTTCCAAGCATTTTTGTGATTTCTCACATTATAATGGACCTGCAAAAATAATAGAACAATAGAAGGCTTATAAGGCCAAGATATCACTTTATTACAATCTGGATGATTAAAGCTTCAACTAGCCTTTTAATTACTATATTATTCATTAGCCCATCATCAGACTATAATAAGAATATTTGTCCAGGAGTACAAAATACACATAATATTTTTAAATCTTTACTAGTAAATAAAATAAAAGCATTCTTAGGTATAACATTCTTTGGTATCAATTCTTACACAGACTTATCCTATTTATAAAGCACAATATTACAAATGCGACTATCCATTACTGATATCGTAACTGTCTATCGACAAAAAAGAATACAACTATATCACACACAGCACCCGTGTCATAACTATCCATACTCTAGTATCACACGACATCATTGCAACACTCAGTGCCACGACACCCTTTACGAGTTATAACACCTTCTCTACCATGTCACACAACACCCTTGTCTCTGCATTATAACACACCATCTCTACTGCATCCACATGACACCTTTGTCTCTGCATTATAACCCACCATTTCTACTGTGTCCACATGACACCCTTGTCTCTGTGTTATAACACTCCATCTCATCTGTGTCACATGACACCCTTATCTCTGCACTATAACAGTCTGTGTCCACATGACACCCTCCAGTGTCCAACACTAACATCGTCTTGGGATAAGACTGCCGATAATGTCCAGTTGCTGCCATCAGGCAATTAAGTCCAGTCGATATGCCATCAGAAAACTAAATCTAGTCATTCCCAGCAGGAAACTAAGTCCAGTCATTGCCAGCAAAGTCGAGCTGGTGTACAGTGAGGCCATCAGGTAACTCTTGAGGCCATCAAACTGTGGACTCAGTGAAGCCGTGGTGACTCAGTGAGCCGTGTGGAACACACTGAGGTCCAGACTCAGTGAGCAGTGCAGAACACACCCTGTTGTGAATACACTGAATGAGGCCGTCAGGTAACTCTGAGGTCGTCAAGACTCTGTGAGCTGTGATAAACACACTGAATGAAGTCAGTTCATCAACCCCGACATTGAGTGATGATGATGTCACACTGGGTACTGCTCTGGCAACAGTCATAGCAGCACACAAGTGGTCAGTCAACCACTTATCCTATTGTCTCTTCCTGGGTTCGCAACACATCTCACATACGACCTTCTTCTGTTCTATTATTTTTACAGGTCCTTGATAGATAAATAACCCGCATACAGGATAGAGGAGCTTACGACGATGTTTCAGTCAATACGACTTTGTAAATATATGGTACAAGTGGAACTGAAACATTATTGTCAGCTCCTCTCTCCTATGTGAAGGTTATTTATGTACTGTTCTAGTCATTGTGCCTTTCTGTTCTTTAAGGTCCTTGGCAATGTGAGAAATCATGAAAGTGCTTTGAAGTTCACTATTTTTTCACAGTGATTGTTTTTACATATTGATATATGTTACTGAATTTAAGAAGTTAATAAAACTTGCTATAATTTATTGCTCTACAGTACGTATTTAAAATGTAATAAAACTTACCATCTTTCACCTCAATTAAGTCATAATCAGTGTAGGAGTTTGCGTCATCACGCACATCAACGTCCTGAAACCATTATGCAGGGAAAATTATTAAGTTTTATTCTTGTATTCATGTATATGTGCATGCACATTGGCAAGCTCCAATCCAGTAAGGATCATACTAAAGATAATTACTCAGCATGAAGGTGGCAAGTCCATAACTTGCATTCATTTATTTAGTTTTCAATAGTGGTATTTAGTTAGTTACAGTAATTATCTGTTTATTTATTGTTCAGTGACATTTATTTATTTATTTAGCATATTCATATTCAACTTGCAATATTTTTCGACTTACGATATTTTCGACTTACAATGGGTTCATTGGAACGTAACTCCATCATAAGTCGAGGACCACCCATAATATATACTGACAGTTCACAAATGTAAAATATTTATCACTACTCACCAGAGGCTGTCCAATTTTATTACTGTTCTGGGATTTTAAAGGCGTATCAGTCTTGCATTTGAAGTGGGTGTCAAATTTGTCTGATTCAAAATGTGCAAGCTTCGAAGGTTTCTCTCTCTCTGGGCCGGAGCATGATACACCTTCAAGAATGTAATATTGATAAAAAAAATATTCTTAAACAAATGATCACATTCTTGATCACAGTAAGAGTACAGTAAGTTATCTTATTCTTAGAGTCAAGGGTACAGTAAGTTATCTTATTCTTAACCAAGTCAAGAGTGCAGTAAGTTATCATATTCTTAACAAAGTCAAGGGTACAATAAGCTATTTTATTCTTAACAAAGTCAAGAGTTATCAGCTATCTTAGTAAGTTATTTACAGCTATAGCAATTTTTTGTAAACACAATTGAAAAAGTGCAACCAAAATTAACCCTTTGAGGGTCAACAGGTCCTCTCAGAGACTCGTTCTCAGGGTTGGCCAAATTTAAAAAAAAAAATTATTTTTTCTTATGAAAAAATAGTTTTTTTTTTTTTTAAATATTATAGGCTAAACAAACAATTTTTACCATCAATACTTACCGAGATATGGAGGCGTGAAGTTGATGAAAAACGGGGACAATGTGGCAACATCACCGACTGCCGTCTCCCGGTATTCTTTTATTTACTTTCTTATGTACTAATTTCTATTATTTTTTTAATTTTTCTTTTTCCAAGTAACTTTTATGGCCTGTGAGACCAATATGATCATTATTTTGTAAGTTTTTTCTTTTTCAATACTACACAATAAGGGCATAAACACTGTTGTCATTGTTTTGTTTATAAAAAATATTTACACAAACGATATGAAATGTTGTTTATTACTATTTTTCTATATTTTATATACAGTAAGGCCCCGCTTTATGGCGTTTTGCCTTACGGCATTCTGCTAATACGGTGATGTCAAATTATGACCCAAATTTGCTATACAGCAAGCGGTCTTTCAAATACGGCGCCCCCTACCCGGTTTGTTTACATTTTCCGTGACCACATCTATTATGTCATGAAACTTTCCAAAATTTCAAGTGTTTTAAAGTTACTGCATATTTTATATGTACTCTGATAATTATACTTAGGTGTACCTAAATATACTTACACACTGTGCAGGTGTGCAGGTACACATTAAAATCGCTAAGTCTCTCTCTACTCATGACGCCAATACTACTTCATAATAATCACTCTTGGGCACACTAAATGTCTTATTTTACATCAATATAGGCATTTTCATGAATCCATCTATGATATTTTCCTCAAAATTATATATGAAACCCATTACATAGCATATAAACATGATACATACACTCACAGAATAAAAATTGATGTAAATATGAGACTTGTTTACCAAGCAGCTGTGTAGGTAGTGTCGGAAGAATTACGTTTTCTCTAGTCAAACATTACAGTAAGTAAGCAAGTACATTGGGGGGTAACTGTAGAAAAATATTCTTTTTGTATGCCTTTACTCTATATATAGCAATTCACAACCCTTGTGGGTTCAGTGCTTTTTATTATTAATAATATAATATAATAATAATAATAATAATAATAATAATAATAATAATTATTATTATTATTATATTATTATTATTATTATTATTATCTTCATTCACTCAAAAAATGGTGTGTTGCTGTTTGTTTATTCTGAACTAACTTGTACAACTTGTACACAATGTAAGAGTATTTGTATTGTGACGTAATTATTATTAAAATAAAAAAATATTGAGGTAAATGTTTTACAAACTCTTACAAATGGACGTGAATGAACTAAAAGTAGACACATATTAATACGCATTTATTTCGCCTGACCAAGTGATCGTCCACCACCTGTTCAGTTTGTGTTCTTACATTGTCTCAACTCTGTACATGTATCTCGTTCTCTCTCTCGTTTACTCTTTCGTTAACTAGTTGGCTCTCATTGACGATGGCGTCTAAGGTTAGCTGTAATAAAAAGAGGAGTCGTAAGCCTCTTGCTTTAAGTGCCAAGTTAGAGGATGATGGTGTGCCATTCTGATTTTATTCAATAAACACCCTGCCACTCACCTCTCACACATTAATATTAATATTTTATTCAATAAACACCCTGCCACTCACCTCTCACATATTAATATTAATATTTTAAGGTAAGTAATAAGTGTACTCTGTGTGTATCATACCTTTTATTGTGTTTTTAATGCCTATTTATATTGCTAACTTAATATAAGTTAGTGTAAACTTCTTGTCTGGCATTTATTGCATATTTTATGTGCTCTGATAATAATACTTGTGGAGCTGTGTCCCCTCAAGGAAGGTTCCTTGATGCTGGTGAGGGGATCTTGATTTAGGGAATTGGATCTGTGCTCCAGTTCCCCGAATTAAGCCTGAATGCCTTCCACATCCCCCCCTAGGCGCTGTATAATCCTCCGGGTTTAGCGCTTCCCCCTTGATTATAATAATAATATTTGTGGAGCTGTGTGGTAGCCGGGTGGAGGGACAACATTACGTTTTCTCTGCTCAGCCATCAGAGCAAACGTTTATGAATCTGCGTTTGGCCCAGCCACTCCCTCACTCCGCTTTTGTTTACAATTTTCGGCATGAATTATTCATTACTTCTACCTTCGTTTATGATGGCATCTAAAGGTAGTTGTTAGAAATGATTAAATTCAGTGAACAAGGCATGTCGATGTTAATAATATGGCTCTGGGCCACAGTGTAGGTAGCCATAGGTGTACGGGCTACACCTACCGGCTACCTACACTGACTTTCTACAAATAAATACTACTCACCTCTCTTCCTATATTAAGACTACACATATTTTAAGGTAAATAGAGAGTGTACTGTAAGTGTATTTTACCTCTCTGGGATGTTTTAAATATCGTATATTAAGTATGAGACGGGGAGCCAGGGCTACCTACACCTGGGCTACCTGCACCTGACTTCCTACAAATAAGTACTACTCACCTCTCTCCCTACATGAAGATTACAAATACTTTAAGTAATGAATTTATTGTGAATGTATTTTACTTTGTGTGTTTTTAATGCCTAGTTCTATTACTAACTTAATATAATTTAGTGTAAACTTGTTGTCTGGCATTTATATGCATTTATAAATGGAAAAAATGGCGTTCTGCCTTCCGGCGATGTCTGCTTTCCGGCGACTGCCTGGAACCTAACCCGCCGTATAAGTGGGGCCCTACTGTACACATATACAGTCACAGGGAATGTTTCTAGAAGTTCTGCAGCCTGTGGAAGTCTTTGAAACATGGTGTCATGCACAGTGGTGTTTTACACTCCTCACACATAAAACGAGTGTCTCTGCGTTGTTGTTGGCATTTTTTTGTATGTGCACAGACATAACACCTCTTCTGAGCCTTTTTCTTGAAAGCAGTAGCAGGCAGTTTTACCAGGAAGTGATCACCATGCTTCAGACGAGAAGGTAGTTGTTGATAATTTGGTGGGTGGTCTATTGCAGGTGTTCTTCCTTGGTACTTGAATACTATTTGTCTGATGACAGACAAACAGAATTCGCCATATTGTGGTTTGTTTCTGGTCCTCATCTTATACATATTATAAGCATTGAGCATGGAAATGTCCAGAAGATGGAAAAAGAGTTTTATGTACCACTTATAACTCTTGCGAACACAATCAGCAAACCCAATCTGCATGTCACATTTGTCCACTGAACGCATATTGAAGGTGTAATCAATCACAGCTGCAGGTTTTAGAATGGGTTCATTGCTCTCTCTATGCTGCCTGCCAGTGTCTGCCACTTCATTAGGGTGAACTGATGACAACAGTGTGACATCTCGTTTGTCATGCCACTGAAATGCCATGATGTCATTGGTAGCAAATGCCTGCACCTCACCTCTACGAGTGCCAGCGTCAAACCTGGGCATAAGTTTCCGATTTATACACACTGTGCCACACACATCTGTCATGTTCACTCGCAAAAAATCACTGAGTGAGGGGCTTGTGTACCAGTTATCAGTACATGTACATAATATATGCCCCTTACCAAGGTATGGTTCTATCATTGTTCTAACCACATCACCAGAGATGCCCAATAACTTCCTGGTATTTTGCAATGTATAACTTTCAGTGTACACAATAATATCCAATACCAGACCACTGTAACAATCACAAAGCACAAACAACTTTATACCAAAGCATTTCCTCTTGCTTGGTATGTACTGCTTGAAAGAGAGTCTTCCTTTGAACAGAATCAAAGACTCGTCAATTACAAGCTTCCTGAAGGGATAAAAATACATACTGAATTTCTCTTTCAGATACACAAACACATGCCTAATCTTATATAACCTGTCGTTTCTGTCAGGCCTGGTTTTGTCTGAGAAGTGAAGCATACGTAACATTAGCACAAATCGATTCACTGGCATTATATCACTGAAACCTGGGGTTGCAATCAGGCGGTCTGTTGACCATTATGATTTCACTTTGTGCTTATACACATGTGGCATAAGCATTATTGTGGCAAAGAAAAGATACGTCTCAGCCACAGTTGCCTCCTTCCACTGGTGTAGACGTGATTTTGGTGAAAGTATTGTGTTTGCCATGGTGTACTCATAGTATGTGTTGCTTTCCATGACAATACTTTCGATCAGGGGTTCATCAAAGAATAACTCGAAACATTCCAGTTCAGTGGCATTGTTCCCAAGTGCACAAGATGGCCGTATTCCACTTCGGCTGTCATCAAACTGGTGGGCATTTGGAACAAAATTGCTAGCTTCCTGCCAATCCCAGGTGCGGTCTGCTGGTGGGTACTGGACAATGACAGGTGGTTGTGGTTGTGGAGGTTGTGGAGGTTGTGGTTGTGGAGGCTGGTGTGGTGGGTGGGTGGGGGATGGTGGCCTTTGTTCTAGATCAGCTGAGGCAGCAGCATGGGTGGCAGCATGGCCCACTGCTGGTGCCTCATGGCCGTCACCACCACTACTACCACCACCATGCACATTTTCCATCCCAATTGCAACACTATCATCTTCATTTTCACTGTCTGTTCCTGTTGTACAGACACGGGATGTACTCCGAGATGTACTCCTTCCCCTTGGAATAGCATATGACACACTACCAGAGCGCATATATCGTCGTATACACTGACACTTCACTGGCGAATATTGCACTTCACTATCACTACTGGAACTGTTTTCAAGAGCTTGTAGTTCATAATCACTATCACTATCATCACAAATGCTCACATCTGAGTCTGGGATTTGGGAAAATAGGAGTTTCCTCTTTGATTCTCGTACAACTGAACGTGAACAAGATGGCCCAGCACCAGAGGTGGAAGGCTGAGGGTCGTCTGGGTTTTCCTCACTATTACCGATATTATGGTCATTAGTTTCAGTCAAAACCTCACCAAAACCTTGAAACTCATCTTCACTGGCACTTCCATCTGTATTAGAACTGTCACTGGGGAACAAAAGTGTTCCAATTCGCCGAGGAGTGAGGAACTTCTTACAGCGAGGCATGGTGGACATTGTGTACTAAGATGGCATTCCCCCAATGTACCAATGGGTCCCAGATTTTTTCTACCGCGCACACCGACCACACAGACCCATTCTCTCACATCTAGGCCTACCAGCCTTTTCCCACGAGATTTGACGGCGCTAGAATTTATGCGTACTAGTACATCAAAAACCCCTGCACGTAAGACCTACTAGTACGTCCGAAACCCTCAAAGGGTTAAAGATCTCATGGAAAGGTCTTCATAGTAGGCATTAAGAGATAGGATAAGATTTTGTTGGGATTTTTAACCCCTGAGGGTTAGCCACCCAGGATAACCCAAGGCCAGTGTGTCATCAAGGATTGTCTGTCTTATTTCCATTGTGGTCCTTCGATCTTGCTAAAAGGAGATACAGATAAGTGACGGTGATAATGACGGTCTAGTAGCTAGGAATGATAACCTTAACTCTTTAACTCTACATGTAATGCACAGATAGGTGAATGTGAGACAACAGAACCATTCTTGTTATGTAAGACACATATGCAACAGTTAGGTGTCTTTATTATGAAATGTTTCGCCTACACAGTAGGCTTCTTCAGTCAAGTACAGAAAAGTTGATAGAAGCAGAAGATACTTGAAGACGATGTAATCAGTCCATCACCCTTAAAGTTTTGAGGTGGTCAGTCCCTCAGTCTAGAGATGAGCATTGTTCCATACTATGGAACAATGCTCATCTCCAGACTGAGGGACTGACCACCTCAAAACTTTAAGGGTGATGGACTGATTACATCATCTTCAAGTATCTTCTGCTTCTATCAACTTTTCTGTACTTGACTGAAGAAGCCTACTGTGTA